CTCTCGCTGCTTTCTTCACACGCGGAGGCCATTTGGAGGACATCTATATCGTTGCCATGGTGAATAAGTTTTCTCGAGAAGTCTACAGCGTTTTTCAGTTGGTTTTGTTCGACGGTAGCAGTTGCAATTAAACTATTTAAAATGTCTAATTTGGCATTTGACATGGCATCTATTTCTCCCAGGAGATCATCGGCACGTTGACGGGCTATCTTAATAACTTGCTCCAACTGTTTGTTTACTTGACTCTTTGCCTTCTTTCTTCCCTCTTCTACTGATACTTTCTGGTCTTCAGCAGCTGTTTTAAAGAGATCGTACCGTAGACTTTTCTTCTCGATGGGCTTCACGCAGAGTTCTAGTTTCTCCTTGCGTTTGTTGGCAGCGATGTTGATTCTAAGGCAATCGTGACCCTGGTGTTCTAAAAACATACAAGTGGCGCAGATGAACATTTTACACACTGGGCAGAAGATTTCTACGGGGTCCTTGTTGTTGTGGTCACACAGGACGTTTTGCCGGGCACGCAGCTCTGTCACGTATTCGTCGCTGTCAAACTGGTCGACAGGAAACAGCTTGTGGTCACGACTGAACTTATGAAGCACATGATCCGAAGAACAATCTCCACACATGCTTTCCTCACAGTCCAAACATCGTTTTGTTGCCGTTGGTGGGTTGGAGACATTTTTCATGCAACATATCTTGCATTTCTTGGCAGCCTTGGCTTGTTCTACTTGACCATGTGCTTGTGATATGCTGACCAGAAGATGATTTGTTTGTAAACCGCTTACACCGCCACCAGGGAGGACACACTGACGTCTACAGATAGGACAAGGGAAGCGAGGCTGACCTTGACAATTTCTGTCCAAATGGCCCTGGAGGCAATGCTGGCAAAACGTATGGGCACAGCTGAGGACCTTGGGATCTTTGAACTTTTGATGACATATGCTGCATGTTAGGAAATCTTCCGTTAGGATCTTGGATAGAGACATGGCTCCTTATACCAAGATATGAAAATAAAGAAATTAAATACATCAGATAAAAGATGAAGATTTGGTAATAGAATAACATCAAAAAACCATATTTAAGTACATGCAATGTAAGGTATGCAACTTCATGTTAAAATGAGTGAGACAAGTGCCGACACATGAAAGAAAAGTCATGAAACGTCTTCATTTTTGTAGTGAACCGCATAAGCCTCTTTATTAGGCGTATGTAACAAAAGTTAATATCACTATAGGATGAAGATGTGTGCAGTAATAAGACCAAACACAAAGCAAAAAAAGTGAAAAGAAAGGAGGAAGTAAAAATGAAACTTAACAAAAAGATATATAATTAGAATAACCAATTGAATTATGAAATATATGAAAAATGAAAATGAAAGACAATTCTAAAAGCAGGTTACCGAAATACCACAGGGTAGGTATTATGATGAGTGAATAGTACAATCCGGACTCGGTAACGACGCGTAATGTTTTTACCAACCTACATAGACACAAACTGCAGCAAGCCCCAACACACAACATTATCAGACAATTACCGAAATTATATTCCCAATGTAATGTATTACTATATATTAGGAGGGGGATTTACCTGTACTTTCTCCGGTTATATTGCTCTTGGTGGCAGGTACACGCCCCCTGTCGCCATTAGATGTGCTGTCTCTCTTGACACGTACACCTGGTCAGGTGAGGCACAAACTTATCTGTATCAGCAATTTTTGGGTTATCTCTATGTACAATATAGACACAGTGACATATTTTATCGGCGTTATCTGACCGAATGCGTTTGTACTGATATGGTAGCAGGGGTGTATAACATAGATTTAGAATGAAGCGTGTGTATAAAATACGGTGTCTTCAGCTTAATGTTGCACAATCATACTTTGATATAAGAGATGAATTTGAGGGGTAACATTCATAAATTCGCCTACCGTGACTTGTATTTATGTAGACAAACAAACCTTCAAATGAATATATTGCCGGGTTTATATATGTGTTACATGTTGAACTGTTTGGTTTACAATTGGAGCCAGTACAGGAACCCTGGGTGTCTCAACAACCGCAATTAGACATCAACTACCACAATCACGTCTCAACAACAGCAATATATTCCATAACTCGTGCAGTATCTCCTCTACTGCATTATATCTTAGTCTACAGGTGATCGTGGTCTACACGGATTAAAAATCTGCCATGATTTCAATCTTACCTATCACATATTCATTTACATACACATAGGCCAATGCTGTGGGCAGATCGAGAGGACCGCTCTTTCTCTGTGGGAAAACCCCCGCTGTCAATGGGAATTTGGTTTGAATTTGACAAATTTTTAATTTCTCATTGTGTCAACTTGGGGGTTGGGGGGGGGGGGGGGCAATTTTTGACTAAACAGTAAATTTTTCCAGATGGGTGTGGCTCTTATTTGATTTAGAATTTCAAAAGGGAACCACATGCCAAATATGGTAATTTTATCAAGTGACAAGGTTTTTTCGTTAAGTCACCCCACCACACACTTTTCCATGCTTTGCGTGATGTTAAAGTGGTGTTGACCTGTAACTCACCACACTGGTTCAGTGCAGGTTGGTGAGTGCCTGATGCCCAGTTGCTCAAGAATGAGCAGTTTGCACAAAGTTTTATTGGTACCAATTGTCGTTTGAATTATCAGACAGATTACTGAGTAAAATGCGTATGGAAGTAATATATATTTTTTACAACAAATCACAATCAAGACACACATTCATTGGGCAACTTTAGTGTGTGTGATTGTTTTAGCAGTTACAAACACCGCCATTGTGATTTCTTGCCTCATCTAAAGCAGCGAGACTACAAATTGCCTTTTCGGAAAAGTAGGCCTGCCTTTAGTTTTACTCAGCTAGTCCTAAATTTGTGTTTACGGTTATACCTCTATCCTTCATTTTAAAAAATTGGCCACATTTTCGGCTCATCAGCTATCGGAATGGCAGTGTTGCAATGTTTCGTCCTAGTAACCGTATTTACGCTCTGTGTTGAGCACTTGTTACACAGGTCGTGAACAATGAGAATGGAACAGTTGGAACAGAACAATGAGAATGGAACAATGAAAATCAGACAACAAATAACAGTAAAATGGGCACAGCCCAATTCTGGCTTAAATACAGGACATTCGCGTTATTAGCACGACGCTATAACCAACTGAGCTATCAGGCCACGAAATAAATGCCTTCAATCAAAGACAAATGTTGAGAGATCCCAGCAGGCAAACGACATTGATTCTACGTTGATTCAACGTTGATCCACTAAAATTAACGTTGATTCAACGGTGAATCAATGTCGTTTGTCTGCTGGGATGTTGTGTTATCACATTGTTTTTTATGTACTCGTACTTCTATCATACGCTGAACCTTATATTGCATTTATAATAATAATAATAATTTATTGAGCAAAGAAATGTTTTACATTTATTACGCCCTTCTCGTTGAGAACATCATCTCACATGAATACACCAGGGCCCCGTAACTCGAAAGCATCGCGCATTGCGACCGTGCGCAAGCGTCTCTATTCCATAACTCGGGATTTACTCGCCCCATATAATATATTGTAGCCTCTATGTGATATCGTTATTCGCAATACGTGATGTTTTCGAGTTACGGACCCTGTTTATTTTAATGTTTTATAGTGTCGTCCTTGCTTCGATAATAACCCATAAATAAAGAATAAACACCCACGTCTTCTGTGTCATTTAAATAACATTGAACATCAGCACTCGAAATTGTGAGTGTTTGAATATCGGACAGTGCTTCACATTAATATAAGGGACTAGAACAACGGAAATTACATAACTACTACAATAAAGGGTACCGGAGAAGATCAGCATTGGTCAGAATTGTGCCGGAAGTGTGACGTCAAATGGTGTTAGAAGCGAAGCTGAGTGGTCATTTTAACCTGGAGGTGAACGGCAGAGAAGACATGTAGTCGGAGGAAAAAGAAGTTTTCTAAACAACATGGTAAGATAACTCTTTTTTTTTACGCATTTTGGGCAGAGAATACTTGTAGAAATAAAAGATGCATGATATGAAAACGTGACACTGAACTTGAAGGTGCAAAATCGTGCTGTCAAAATGTCACCTTTGTCTTGGCATTTGTCACTGATTAGCTCCTCCCCCAGTGTAAAGGGTGTATTAGTGTGATCATATGTGTGGAATTTCATGTCAGATGGACATATAAAGATCTAAAAATTCGCCAAAATATTGAAAAAAGATACAGCTTTGCACAGCAGTCGGAGATCGGTACGATTCAGTTGTTAGTTACGAACTACTTCCTGGCTTTCATAAGGTCCTTCAAGACCTCTATAACATTGTTATAATTGCAGCCCATACCATAAAACACCCCAAAATACTTAGATATGGACATATCAGATTATATTAATGCCAAATTTCCACATGACAACGATTTATAGACTCCCGGGAATTATTTTCCCTTAACGCTCTTTGTCGCGCTGGCGGTCAATGCAGCATTTATTTCAAAACAAGTTGACCGCAAATTAAGCACGATTTTGCACCTTCAAGTTCAGTGTCACGTTTTCATATCATGCATCTTTTATTTCTACAAGTATTCTCTGCCCAAAATGCGTAAAAAAAGAGAGTTATCTTACCAGGTTGTTTAGAAAACTTCTTTTTCCTCCGACTACATGTCTTCTCTGCCGTTCACCTCCAGGTTAAAATGACCACTCAGCTTCGCTTCTAACACCAATACACGTCACTTCCGGGCACAATCAGTCTTCTCCAATTCCCTTTATTGTACATGTACACTGTAGTATATAAAGGAATAGCTGATGAGATAAGGTGACAAACGGTATCATGTATGCTCTCTAGCGTTGTGCGGGGTATATCAAACAGTGGAATGAAGACCAGATCGGGTATCTTCTTATTATCAGTGACTATCAATATTCTGGCGATATATTTTCTTTGGAAATACACAAGGACTGGCGACATCTCCGCCCAAAACGAAGATGAAGGTGGAAATAGTAAGATGGAACCATCTGAAAATCTGAGCAGGAGGCCTGCAGTAGAATTAGTTAAAGAAGACACAAAACAGATTAGTCTTGGGGATTGCATGGTACCGGAGATTGTATGTAAACTAAAGAAAAGTGATTCTGACCTGTGGTACCATATTAAAAGATACAGGTACATTATAAACAACCCCTGCTGGGATAAAGACACAGTGTTTCTCCTAGTGCTAGTTGTGTCCGATCCTCGTGATTTTATGACCAGGGACATGTACCGAAAGACGTGTGGGAGTGTTAAAGACGTTCTTGGAGAGAAAATAAAAACTGTATTTGTCGTCGGTCAAACAAATGATTCAGGCGTGGAACGTGGGATATTAGCAGAAAACTCTGAACACAGAGATATCATCAAAATGACATTTATCGACACGTACAAAAATTTCACTCTAAAGACACTACTGGCCATGCGATGGGCCATTGATTACTGTGCAGGTGCGAAATTCGTCTTAAGGTGCGGGCACGATGTTATCGCAAATTACCGCCAGATTATTAGATACTTGAAGGATCTTCCAAAATTCAAGACGGAAACGTTATTCACAGGCTATTTACATTCGAAAGGGAATTCGCCTTTTCGAAATCCAAAGCACAAATATTATCAGTCATTTAGGCAGTACAGTGGAAGTACATACCCGGCTTACCTTTCGGGGTTTGCTACAGTAGCCTCATTCGAATTCATCAGAGTCCTCCATTCAGCTTCGTTTTGGAAACATCTCTTCATTGAAGATGTGTACCTCGCCACACTGGCGCACGAAAACGGAATCGAACTTGTCCACAATCCAAACTTTTGGTTGACAGTTCCTCCAAAATTAAAGAAAGATTCTTGTCTTCTCTCAATGCTGTTGGCCATTCACAAGGCCCCTAACTTTAAATTTTGGAGTATTTTGTATGATTTGGAAAAACCAAGAGTTGTAAACTGCAGTCAAAAACAAGAGATCAAGATGCGTGAAAAGATGCAGGGACACATGTAAGTTATATCACGGTTACAGGGAAAATTAAAGTATTCATTTCTGTGCATGGATTTTCCCTACAGAAGAGCTTGTGAAACCACAGGTAAAAAATGTATTTCAACTGCTTTTTTTCATTCGCCGCACGTACAGAGGATGGGCACTTAAAAAAAAAACAACAAAAGATACAGAAACACACTGTTGTAAGATACTAAATAATTCAAAACATACGACTTGAGTCTTCACTAATATGTGTACTGAACCAATTTCATTATTAAGAAAATAATTTCATTCGAAAAAGCAGACGATACTGTTGTGAGGCTGCAAGGAAGATTATTGAATACTAAATATTATACAGATTATAATGTTTGTCGGGTGGCGTTTGCAGTATTTTTAAATTTACTTGCTGTATTTGAGTGCTATCCATTTCTCATCGGAGACCCACTACATACATACATACATGTACATGAGTAAAATATACACCTCAGTTCTCCTTTCTGGGAATCACAGTTTTTTTATTGAAAAAGAGTCTATGTCCAGGTAACGGTTAATGTTTGCAAAATAAAATACACACGAATGCTCCATATTCTGTGATATAACTGTTGATAGGTCATAGCTAAAAATTCTCGTCCTTGTATGCCACCAGGTAAAATCAAACGCTCGTGTTCCCAGTGGCATGCTGGTCATAAAATATGCAATCAAATATTAAAAGAACGGCCTGTATTTACAAATATATATATATAGCTTGAATACAGGTACTGTACATGTACCATATATGTATTCAGGCTGGAGAGTGGAATCGTATACACGGATGTGATCATCTCCTTTGACGATTACATAATCATTGACGTTACAGTGGATGTGTTTGATATGTTTATTCTTTGGGTCTGGTGTTTGGGTCTGAAGGAACTCGCCCTCCTTGTGATGCACAGTCAGAGTACTGAGGCCTGCCACTACATAATGACCCTTGCTGTTGACCGCTACTGCATGAGGTGACTCACTGTAGAATGTTCTCACGTGGTCTCCTTTCTTGGTGTAGACAATGATTTCATTTGATAGCTCACATCTAGTGACAATGTTACCGTCATCATCAATGGCAATCCCAGCAAAGGCGTCTTTTTCTGCTGCTCTGGGGTTAGGAATTGTGCCCTGAAGGATAAATGTTGAATCGTAGATGTGAATTCTATTCCTTGACTTGTCCTTATTACAAAATATACCAATAAGGAAATCACCGTTTGCATCAGTGGACACGTGACTGATCAACTCGTCGGGAGACTCGGTCAGTTCTACTTTAAATGTTGTCACCAGTCTTCCACTCATGGCGGGAACCACGTTTCCAAGGCAACTGTTGATACTGGTAACGCACTCCTCCACGTCTTTGGTGATAAGCTGTAGCTGGGTCATGGCTGCGGGCAGGGTCGGGATGTCGAGAGTCTGGACGCTCTCACTGCTTTCCTCACAGGCGGAGGCCATTTGGAGGACATATATATCGTTGCCATGGTGAATGAGTTTTCTCGAGAAGTCTACAACGTCTTTCAGTTGGATTTGTTCGGCGGTAGTAGTTGCAATTAATCCATTTAAAACGTCTAATTTGGCATTTGACATGGCATCTATTTCTTCCAGAAGATCATAGGCACGTTGTCGGGCCAACTTAATAACTTGCTCCAACAGCTTGTTTACTTGTCTCTTTGCATTCTTTCTTCCCGCTTCTAATGATAATTTCTGGTCTTCAGCAGCTGTTTTAAAGTTATCGTACCATAGACTTTTCTTCTCGATGGGCTTCACGCGGAGTTCTAGTTTCTTCTTGCGTTTGTTGGCAGCAGTATTGATTCTAAGGCAATCATGACCCTGGTGATCTAAAAACATACACGTGGCGCAGATGAACTTTTCACACACAGGGCAGTAGATTTCTACGGGGTCTTTGTTGTTGTGGTCACACAGGACGTTTTGCCGGGCACGCAGCTCTGTCACGTATTCGTCGTTGTCAAACTGGTCGACAAGGAAACAGCTTGTGGTCACGACTGAACTTATGAAGTACATGTTCTGTAGAACAATCTCCACACATACTTTCCTCACAGTCAAAACATCGTTTTGTTGCCATTGGTGGATTGCGGTCATTTTTCAGGAGACATATTCTGCATTTCTTGGCAGCTTTCGCTTCTTATACTTGACCCTGTATGTGTGATATGCTGACCAGAAGATGATTTGTTTGTAAACCAATTACACCGTCTTTAGGGAGATCACGCTGACGTCTGCAGGTAGGACAAGTGAAGCGAGGCTGACCTTGGAAGTTTCTATCCAAATGGTCTTAGAGGCAATGGTAACAAAAAGAATGCCCACAGCTGAGGCCCTTAGGGTCTTTGAAATTTTCATGGCATATGCTGCACGTTAAGAAATCTTTCGTTAAAATCTTAGAAAGAGACATGGCTCTTAAGGACAATATCTAAAAATAAAGAAGAGAAAGACATGCAACAATGTTTAAATGAAAAGTCCCGTAATATAAACAAAGAAAGACATCCAACTTAATGTTTTAAAGACAATTCCCGTAATTTAAACGAAAAGTTAGAACGAACACAAACCAAAATAATTAATAATAAAAAGATGTCAAAGACGGAAGTGAAAAGGAAACTATTAGAATAGATATGCAATTAAACATAATTGTAAGCTATCCAGTGAATTATGATATAAAAGAAGAACCAAAATGGAATAAATTCTAAAAAAAATGATGTAGCCGAAATATCACCGAGTAGGTATGATGATGAGTGAATAATACAATCCTAACTCGGTAACAATGTGTTATATTTTTACCACCCTACAGAGACACAAACTGTAGCAAGCATCATCCCAGTACATTATCAGACAATTATCAGAATTATATTCCCCATATGATGTATTACGATATATTAGGAGTGGGATTTACCCCTACTTTCTCTAGTTATATTTCTTTTTGTGACAGGTACACGCCCCCAGTCGCCATTAGATGTGCTGTCTCTCTTGACACGTACACCTGGTCAGGTGAGGCGTTCAGTGTTCAAGGAGACTTCAAACTACATCTTAATCAGCAATTTTTTGGGTTATTTCTATGTACAATACAAACATGGTGACATATTTTATCGCTGTTATCTGACTGAATTCAGTTGTACTGATATGGTAGCAGGAGTGTATAACATAGATTAAATGCAGCGTGTACATAACGTACAGTACTGGGCCTTCCCCTTAATGTTGCAGTTTTGATTAAATAACCGTACATGTACTTTGATATTAGAGATGAATTTGAGAGGAAACATCCATACATTCGCCCACCGTGGCTAGTATTAATGTAGACGAACAAACCTTTAAATGAATATCTTGTCGGATTTATGTATGTGTTACATGTTGAACTTTCTGGTTTACAGAAATCAGTATAAGGATCAGTGTAGGAATTAGTATAGGAACCCTGGGTGTCTCAACAACCGCAATTACATATCAACTACCACAATCACCTCTCAACAACAGCAATATATTCCACAACTTGCGCATTATCTCTTCTAATGCATTATCTCTTGGTCTACAGCTGATCGTGGTCTATAAGGATTAAAAGTCTGCCTTGATTCAATCTTGCCTGGATTACATATACATGTACAATGTAGGCAAGGGGTGTGGGCAGTTCGAGAAGACCGCTCTTTCTCTGCGGGAAAAAGATCCTCTGTGAATCGAAATTTGGTTTGAATTCTACATATATGTCATTTCTCATAGGGTCAACTGGGGTCAAACGGTCAAATATTTCAGGTGAGTGTGGCTGTTATTTGTTTTAGAATGTCAAAAGGGAACCACATGCCCAATTTCTTGCTTTTATTCGCCGTTTTTTTCGTTAAGCAACCCTGCTGTACACTTCTCCATGCTTTGCGTGTTGTCGGAGTGGGGTTGACTCACCATGGTTCAGTGCTGGTTGATGAGTGCCTGATGCACATTTGCTCAAGCATCAGGACTATACGGCAGTTTGCACTAGGTATATTGGCACCAACTGTCGTTTGAATTATTGGACAGATAACTAAGTAAAATGCGTATGCAACTTATGTTTTTTTTTTTCATCAATACACAATCAAGAGACACCTTAATCGGGAAACTTAAGTGTGTGATTGTTTTAGCGATTACAAAAACCGCCATTGTGATTTCTTGCCTCATCTAAAGCAGCGAGTCTACAAATTGGGGTTTTCGGAAAGTAAGGCCCGCCTTTAGTTTTACTCAGCTAGTCCTAAATGTGTGTTTACGGTTATACCTCTATCCTTCATTTTAAAAAATTGGCCAAATTTTCGTCAATTATCGGAGTCGCATGGGCTACCGCAATGTGCATGCATATCCAATTTGCAATTCACAGTTGTTGCAATTTTTCGTCCAAGTAACCGAATATGCATTAAGCACTTGTTAAACAGACCCCGAACAATGAGAATCGAGCAGTTGTTCACAAAAAGAAAATCAGACAACAAATAACAATAAAAGGAGAATGGCCCCACTGGGGCATGAAGCCAGGACATTGCGTTATTTGTACGACGTTATAACCAACTGAACTATCAGGCTTTGCCTACAAAACGGTTTACGAAAAAAAAATTAAACGAAAAAAATGTTGAGAGATGTTGTGTTATCATTTTGTTTTGTTTATACTAGTACTTCTATCATACGCTGTACCTTGAATTGCATTTATAATAATAATACATTGAGCACAGGAATATTTTACATTTATTACTTCTTCTCGTTGAGATCCTTATCTTCACATGAATACACCTGTTTATTAATATATAATAGTGTCGTCTTTGCTTTGACAATTACCCACATAAGGAATAAAATATAGCGCGAACCGCGAACACCAGGCTGTAAATCATCCACGTCCACTGTGTTAATTTAAATTACAGTGAACCTCAGCACTCGAAATTGTGAGTGTTTGAATATCGGGCAGTGCTCCCCATTATAAAAGTAGGGATTATAAAAACGGAATTAACATACTACACTTGTACATGTAGTCTGTAGTATATAACAGAACAGCTGGTGAGATATAGGGCAAAGCAAACAGTGAAATGAAGACCAGATCGGGCATCTGCTTATTATTAGTGACTATCAATATTCTGGCGATATATTTTCTTTGGAACTGCACCAGGACTGGCGATATCTCCGTCCAAAACAAAGATGAAGGTGGAAACAGACAGATGGAATCTTCTGAAAATCTCATCAGGAGGCATGCAGGAGAATTATTTAAAGAGGACAGTCAACAAATTAGTCTTGGGGATTGTATGGTGCCAGAGATTGTATGTGAACTAAAGAAAAATGATTCTGAACTTTGGTATCATATTAAAAGATACAGGTACATTATAAACAGCCCCTGCAGGAATACAGACGACGTGTTTCTCCTTGTGCTAGTTATGTCCGATCCTCGTGATTTTGTCACCAGGGATATGTACCGAAAGACGAGTGGGAGCGTTAAAGACGTTCTTGGAGAAAAAATAAAAACTGTATTTGTCGTCGGTCAAACAAATGATTCAGACGTGGAACGTAGGATATTAGCAGAAAATTCTGTACACAGAGATATCATCAAAATGACATTTTACGACACCTACAAGAATTTCACTCTAAAGACACTATTGGCCATGCGATGGGCCATTGATTACTGCGCAGGTGTAAAATTTGTCTTAAGGTGCAGGCACGATGTTATCGCAAATTACCGGGAGATTATTAGATACTTGAAGGATCTTCCAAAATTCAAGACGGAAACGTTATTCACAGGCTATTTGTACCCGAAGGGGAGTTCTCCTTTTCGAATTCTAACACAAAAATATTACCAGTCATTTAGGCAGTACAGTGGAAATAAATATCCGGCTGTCCTGTCAGGGTTTGCTACAGTAGCCTCATTCCAAGTCATCAGTGTCCTCCATTCAGCCTCGTTTTGGAAACATCTCTTCATTGAAGATGTGTACCTGGCCACGCTGGCGCACGAAAACGACATCGAGCTTGTCCACAATCCAAACTTTTGGTTGACAGTACCTCCAGAATTAAAGAAGGATTCTTGTCTTCTCTCAATGCCGTTGGCTATTCACAAGGCACCTGACTTTAAATTTTGGAGTGTTTTGGATGATTTTGGAAAAACAGATAGTTCAAAACTGCAGTCACGAACTAGAGTTGCGTGAACCTTGGGGGCACATGTAAGTTATTCCGCGGTTGCAAGGAAAATAAAGTCAACATTTGTGTACTTGGATTTTCCCTACAGAATGGCATGTGAATCTATAATCACTGAAGGTAGTAAATGTAATTCAACTTGTTTTCCACTCGCCGCATTTGCACTGCAGCGCACGTACCGGGGTCACACTTCAAAAACATAAGAAACAAAAACACATTGCAGTAAAATATTCCAGACGTTATGCAGAGTACGGCCGAGAATTAACTTTGAGGGTTACAAAATTTTCGTGAGCACCATGATGGTAGGGTCACAACCCGATGCAAAAAAATTACAGAGAGTTTAATGAAACAAAACATACCAAAGTAAATAACATTCTTCAATGAATAACATATATAATTCAAAATAAAAGATTGACCGTCCTCGCAGGTATGTGTTTCGATCACAATTTATTATTAATAATATAATACAAAAAAAAAACATTTTGTCATTTTGATTGGAAAACAATCTTTTTAAACGGGAAAGCAGACGGAACTGTTACGAAGCTGTGTCGGAGAATTAATGAATACTAAATAAAATCCAGATTAGAATTGATGTTTGTCGGTTGGTGTTTGCAATATTTTATATCAGGTTCCGTAGTTCACAACTAACCATATTCGAGACACGATTAATACTATTTATCCTGTACTCCCCTAGTAATATACACACGTATATAAAACCTACATGTACTCCTCAGTTTTCATTTCTAAGAATCACAGAATTTGCTTGAAAGAGCATATTTACAATGCGTAATATTTGTAAATTAAAATACACGTGATACATAAATACTTCAAATTCCATGATGCTGAGTCACAGCAAACAATTCTCGTCTTTATATACAAGAAGTTTGCTGAAAGTTCTTTATTGAAACAAAACGCAAGTGACGTAAGAGCTATAAGGTGTTTACATGGCCATTTTATATGTTATCTAATAATCAATAGTCTGTATTCACAAACATATATTTGGAGGCCATTGTAAGCTTAACAGTCACTCATAATTCGAAGAATTTAATTTGGCCTTTATTTTCTCCAACTACCAGTTGTCCAAGACGATTTATTGCAACATCTTTCGGACCATCAAGTCCATTTTCTTTGGTTAAAAGAAACTTTTTGAATTTCCCATCTAGTGACACGAGGTGAAGACGATGGTTGTTGAAGTCTGTTAGAATGATGTCTCCATTATCCAAACAGCATGCGCCGCACGGATCTTTCACCTGCCCGTCTCCGTCACCCTGGGTACCATATCTGTATTTAAGCTGGAGAGTGGAATCGTATACACGGATGTGATCATCTCCTTTGACGATGACGTCATCATTGACGTTACAGTGGATGTATTTGAAATATTTACCCTCTGGGTCTGGTGTTGTCTGCAGGACCTTGCCCTCCTTGTGGTGCACAGTTAGAGTACTGCTACCTGCCATTACATAGTGACCCTTGCTGTTGACCGCTACTGCTTCAAGTGATTCACTGTGGAATGTTCTCACGCGGTCTCCTTTCTTGGAGTAGATAATGATTTCATTTGACACCTGACATCTAGTGACGATGTTATCGTCATCATCAATGGCAATACCAGCAAAGGCGTCATTTTCTGCTGCTCTTGGGTTTGGAATTGTGCCCTGATGGACAAAAGTGGAATCGTAGATGTGAATTCTATTCCGTGAATTGTCCTTATTACAAAATATACCAGTAAGAAAATCACCGTTTGCATCAGTGGCCACGTGACTGATAAACTCCAGAGGAGACTTGGTCAGTTCTACTTTGAATGATGTCACTAGTCTTCCACTCACGGCGGGAACTACGTTTCCAAGGCAGCTGTTGATATAAGCAACGCACTCCTCCTTGTCGTTAGTGCTAAGCTGTAGCTGGGTCATGGCTGCGGGCAGGGTCGGGATGTCGAGAGTCTGGACGCTGTGACTGCTTTGCTCACAGGCCGAGGCCATTTGGAGGACATCTATATCGTTGCCATGGTTAATGAGTTTCCTCGAGAAGTCTACAGCGTCTTTCAGTTGGTTTTGCTCGGCGGTAGCAGTTGCAATTAAACCATTTAAAATGTCTAATTTGGCATTTGACATGGCATCTATTTCTCCCAGGAGATCATTGGCACGTTGACGGGCCATCTTAATAACTTGCTCCAATTGCTTGTTTACTTGACCCTTTGCCTTCTTTCTTCCCATTTCTACTGATAATTTCTGGTCTTCAGCTGCTGTTTTAAAGTGATCGTACCGTAGACTTTTATTCTCGATGGGCTTCACGCAGAGTTCTAGTTTCTCCTTGCGTTTGTTGGCAGCAGTGTTGATTCTAAGGCAGCCATTGGTGTTCTAAAACCATACAACCGACACAGATGAACTGTTTACACACTGGACAGTAGATTTCTACGGGGTCTTTGTTGTTGTGGTCACACAGGAATTTTTGCCGGGCACGCAGCTCTGTCACGTATTCGTCGCTGTCAAACTGGTCGACAGGAAACAGCTTGTGGTCACGACTGAAGTTATGAAGCACATGATCCGAAGAACAATCTCCACACATGCTTTCCTCACAGTCCAAACATCGTTTTGTTGCCGTTGGTGGGTTGGAGACATTTTTCATGCAACATATCTTGCATTTCTTGGCAGCCTTGGCTTGTTCTACTTGACCATGTGTGTGTGATATGCTGAGCAGAAGGTGATTTGTTTGTAAACCACTTACACCGCCTCCAGGGAGGACACAGTGACGTCTACAGATAGGACAAGGGAAGCGAGGCTGACCTTGACAATTTCTGTCCAAATGGTCTTGGAGGCAATGCTGGCAAAACGTATGGGCACAGCTGAGGACTTTAGGGTCTTTGAACTTTTCATGACATATGCTGCATGTAAGGAAATCTTCCGTAAGGATCTTGGACAGAGACATGGCTCCTAAGACCAAGATATGAAAATAAAGAAATGAAATACATCAGATAAAAGATGAAGATTTGGTAATGGAGGTAACCATATCAAAAAGCCATATTTAAGTACATGCAATGTAAGGTATGCAAGTTGATGTTAAAATAATCAAGACAAGTGCCGACACATGAAAGAAAAGTCATGCAATGTCTTCAATTTTTATAGAGAACCAAATAAGCCTCTTTATTATGCGTATGTAACAAAAATTACTATAGGATGAAAATGAGTGCAGTAATAAGACCAAACACAAAACAAAAAAAAAAAAAGTAGAAAGAAAAAAGAAAGGCGGAAGTACAAATGAAACTGAACTAATAGATATATAATTAGAATTATTGTAATATATCAATTGAATTATGAAATAAATGAAAACTGAAAATGAAAAAAATTATTTAAAAAAAACGTAGGTACCCGAAATATTACAGGGTAGGTATTATGATGAGTAAATACTACAGACTTGACATTTAATATGGAATAATTTTTTCCAAATCATTTTTTATCAGTTTTTTCCTATTTTGCTGACTGATAAATAAAAATAAGGATTAAAATCGTGTTTTAATAACTTTTAATTATATCTTTGATGTCATTGTGACATCAGTTCATTAATGGAATTCGCCAGAGAAGCAAACAAAAACACATTGCCTATTCCATGTCATACGACAACAATTAAAAGAGATATTTTGGATCTCCATATTTTCCAAATTGTTTTCTGTAAAAGAGTTACACGCCTCACAAAGAACCCCCATGTCAGTGTCTAGGCACAGTAATGGTCGCTGTTACGCTTGACCTCTTCTGTCTGCTACCATCGCTCTCAAGTGGCAAGGCATTCCTTGGGTTAGGTTTTTAGAGTTCAATCTGGAATAACATTCCAGGCATCGGTCAAAATCTGTCCAATTTGGTCCAGTTTTGTTGTAGGACATGTAGGCCATTGATTCGGCGAGTAATGGCCTACCCACATATTGTCTGTGTGGTTCAAATTTGGCGATTTTGATTACCAAGGTAGCTGCTCATTCCCTTGGTTCTGTAAGTAATTGTTATTAAAAGTGCTTTGTTTGTACCGGTAATTTCACCGTGCAACCTAAAATTGTTCCTAAGGTGACCCCTATCGAATGATAGTCAAGTGGTTCCCAGATTATTCCTTTATTTGATCTGGTTCAGGTTTTCGTGGATGACCATCATTGGTGTTTTGGCACCAATGTGGTATCCACTCCAATTACTGACGCGGTTAATGACCTTGGTCACTTTAGACGCGGCACACGCTTAGTCGTTGGCTTCTTCTGGACGTCTGGAAACTCTGTTTCGACTGGTTGAGCGGTGCAGGTGAAATCTGACCTCAATAAGGAAAGCCACGAGGTTTCAGTGTTCAACTCAGAAACGGTGAAAGTCCCCAATTCATTAGAGAAACATTGAACGGTGTTTTGCTGTTTACAGTGGGTTCCCCTGAGGTCGACTGGTGTTCTAACCAGCTTAAACCAGATGGGTGTTAGCTAAGGGCCTTGAAAAATGCGTTTTGGTGACAATCTAACCCTCATTCTGAACGGACTGGGTGGTGTTTGTTTAGTTGCAACAGCATATCCCGACAGACAGTGGGTCCTGTACCCTGGTGGTAAGATTTCAATTCATTGGGTGTGGCCTCTGTTTAGGTACATCAGTCTGGGCATTACTCTATAAAACTGTGCGGACCGTTTCGTTTGGCGCAATTATCTATCTGGCAATGTCTGACTTTTTCGCGCCATTCTGCCACAGATTAACAAAATTGCAGAGCACTGCATAGCTCATTTTACACCTTGCAAAACCGACCACTTGCATGCAAAAATTCAGATTCTTCTATGCAGCAGTTGCCGACATATGGATACTTTTTTGACAGAACCATGCTTTGCCAAAGCCAAGCTTTGACCTGCCCAAAGGAACACTACCCAATTAAATCACTGCATATTACACAATGCAGCAGCGCAACAAACCTGGTATTCAGTTAATTGGAACCGACACACCTGACTACACACTTCTCCATTCACATATCTTATATGAAATAGGTGTTTTTTGAAAAAAGAATGCATTTTACTTATAGGCATACCTTCCAAATTGAAATATTCCACATTGAATGTCAAGTCTGTACAATCCGGACTCGGTAACGACGCCTTATTTTTATACCAACCTACAGAGACACAAACTGCAGCAAGCACCATTCCACTATACATTATCATACAATTATCGGAATTATATTTCCAATGTAATGTATTACAATATATTAGGAATGGGATTTACCTGTACTTCCTCCAGTTATATTTCTCTCGGTGGCAGGTACACGCCCCCAGTTGCCATTAGATGTGCTGTCTCTCTTGGCACGTACACCTAGTCAGGTGAGGCGTTCAGTGTTCAAGGAGACTTCAAACTACACATTAATCAGCAATTTTTGGGTTATCTCTATGTACAATACAGACATGGTGACATATTTTATCGCCATTATCTGACTGAATTCAGTTGTGATACTGATATAGTAGCAGGAGTATATAACATAGATTTAGAATGTAGCGTGTATAACATACGGCACTGGGTCTTCAGCTTAATCTTGCATAATCATACTTTTATATTAGCCAACCGTGTCTAGTATTAATGTAGACAAACATACCTTCAAATGAATATATTGCCGGGTTTATATATGTGTTTCATGTTGAACTGTTTGCTTTACAATCGGAATCAGTACAGGAACCCTGGGTGTCTCATCAACCGCAATTAGATATCCACTACCACAATTGCGCCTCAACAAAATTAAAATGGCTTTAGATTTTCAATTTTTACCTTCAATCAAGGAAAAAGTGTCCAAACACCACTTGAACAATAAGATATTGTTAGAAAGAAACCAGAGTAATTTTTAGCCTGCAAGTTAACTCGGGGAAAACTTCCAACAACTAAACACAGTCTAAACGTTTATGTTAATAATATGCAAGATGAAGAACATGGAATATATATATATATATATATATATATATATATATATATATATATATATATATATATATATATATATCAAAATTGAGTCCTTTAGTAAGACATATAGAAGTCAATTAGGACACATTTACTTGAGCCCTTTGACACAATGAAACTAATGCTGTTTAACGCTGTTTGTCAAAAATAAGAGAAGAAAGATGTAATTTGTTTAGAAATTTGTTCACCTCGATCTTCTGTTGCTTGTCATTTGTTTGGGATGAAGTTCGATTTCAATAAATTAATAGCAACTGAAAAAAAAAAAAACGTTTTTTTTTCTTCTACCAAGCACTGCATGACAGCCAACAGTTAAACGCATTTATCAAATATGCAGAGGAATTATATCTATATATTTAATCCAACTGTCCACTTACAAAGGTTAGGTGAAAAATGTATTGATTGGAGCCGATAAGGACTGGCGCGTGACCTAGAGGTTTTAAAGGCCGCATTCAGAACAGTGGACTAACTAGTCCGCGGGTCAAATATGGCGACCGACTAAAAAACTCGCTGTTGAATCCGCTAATAGACACTGAATAGCAACAACAAAAAAGAAAAAAGAAAGAAAGAACGAAAGGGAATAGTTATAACAAATGAACATAATGCTGATTAACTCTTAAGGTGAAATAAATTATGGGAAATAAATCAGCAATATTAATAAGACACAAAATTTTAAACAGAATTTAACAAAATACATATACAAAAATAAATTAGAAGGGGAAAAGTGGTATTATTCAAGTAAGATATCGATCTTTCCTCTATGGAAAAAGGCCGTCACGATTCCAAGATACACTCGCGATACAGACTTGGTAAGTGTTTACATGGTCGGTGGTCCAGATGATTATTATAATTACTAGGGAAATTAATCAGTTTCAATCTCCATTATCAGAGTACGTAAAATTCTTGAAACTTAAGGGCCGTTTACAATGAATTTTTTAGACCTAGCTTACGCGCATTAACTCCCCGGGGACTCTTTGCTGAATGCAATCAGATTAACAAGCTTACTCACCTGTCCTAGCGTTGAGTAGAATATAAAAAATGCGGTGATTATACGAGTACGTTGGAAACAAGAAAAGGCGTGTTAGTTAAGCTGATTGCATTCAGCAAGGGCCCCCCTAGAGTTAGTGCGTATTAGCTATTTCGACAAAATTCATTGTGAACTGTCGTCTCGGCAACAGTTAATATGGCATACTAGCTGGGTGGGAACGGGAAACATGGTGAATTTAAATTTAGTCATAAAAAATAATAGAAATATTATAATTAAGTTATATTAAAGTCTAACGTGCATGGATTGGGGAGCAATATAAGTAGGCTATATAGAAAACCGCTACCATGCACGTGCATGTATCTCGCAATTGTGCCTGTTCGGTACAGTGTATACGCCTCAGCTATAGCCTCTAGCATTAACACGGTACTATCATCAAACCGATACTGAATATACCTAGAGGGAGTTTTGACATATTTTCAAGTCAACAATATAGCATTCAACGGTAAGCCCTCCAGTTTTTCCTGCATCGCTATATACATCACACCTATCACATGAGATGTGCGCTAAGATCAATATACCTTTTTTGGTGACGCATGCGCAGTGGTATTCCGTCCAACACCTGACACTGTCAACCTGATACATGAAGGCAAGGCGGTTTGTCGGGTAAGTAGAGGATGTGGCCAAGAAAATATGTATAAAAAGGATAGAGACAATACCCTACCTAATATATGTTGCCGTCCGCGGTATTAAGTCTCTGTACTACGTGTGTAGAGGGGGAGGGGTGATTTGGAGAGAGTTGTCTCGATGCGACACCTCACTGTGCTAAGTACAGTACTTACTGCGATACGTATGCAGCAGTGATGCCTAAGTTACGCTGAGTTTGGAGAAAGATAATTTATAATCACAATACGTTAGACCGCGTGCATGTTGACCACGGGCACTGATGCAGAAATACCCCTGTATGTGTACCGAAGACTCCGCGTTATTATTATTATTATCTTTTTTGTATGGAGTACTTGTATTTCTATAAACACAGCACATGTTGCTTAATGTTTAGGTGGAGGGATCAAGAGTGTGTGTATGTCTTACATCATCTGAAGCCTATTAAAGTAAATATTTTGTTAGAGAAAAAAAAAAGAAACAGTCACCTTGTCTCAGTTGAATGACCCGTAGCAAAGCACATGGAAGGTGGTATACCCAGTACACCGCAGTCGTACAGGGCCGTTATTGTACGACTGCGGTGCGGCATATTTTGCTGGTGTGGGTCTCTCTCTCTCTCTCTCTCTCTCTCTCTCTCTCTCTCTCGTGCACATACACGCACACACACACACACACACACACATACGTGCACACACACACACACACACACACACACACACACACACATTACCCCCTGTCATAAGATCATAGCCAAATTCAAGATCTCATATCTATATGCCATTTCAGTATTGCCAGGTAGGCCTATCTCAATATCATATATAAAAAGTGCAGTTGTCTGTGCCGGTATGTAGTGTAAAACATAAACAGCATACGCCCCCTATTTTCCGGTGGACTCGTTTTATTAATGTACTACTAGTATGACGTCCTTGGGAGGCCTAATTGGCCAAATTATGACAGCCACTAGGTTTAATGAACGGTTAGGCCACCCCTTATTCATATAGAGTTATTATTCCCTAACCCGCGAATACTGGTTCAGGGCCAATAAAAAAATATTACAACCTCTGCAATGGAGTTGCACGATGATGAGAAGTTATATTGGTTGCACAAAATGTTTGAATCAGATATTTAGTTTTAGTATATTGTTTTCGATACTGTATATTTTTGAAATTTAAAAAAATCGGCTGTATGAAGAAAATGTGAAATATTTTTTACCAAGGTTGAAAAACAAGGGTAAAAACGGGTGATTTAAGACAAGGAAATAATTAATTTGTTTATTCTATGTAGTCGATAATGTAGTAATTATGATAATGATGACGTTTATTGCTCAAATACCGCATCCAATAGTATACATTTCAATGTTATATTTAATAGTCATAATGTTCTATACAATTAAAAATTCTTAAAATACAACGTTATGCAATTCTAAATCTACTTTCTCTGACTTCAAATTAAGCTACTAGAATACTAAACTGCTGTTCACAACAAAGGACAGCTAAAGGTATTAAAGTATGAAATAGATGCCCAGATAATCATAAGCCTCCCCTATTCTAATGAAATAAGTTAATTATTCATGAGACAGAAGAGATATTATGGTAACAAGCAAGCCTGGTTTTATATCCGAATATCTGCGAGCATGTGAAGTATTTATGGTTGAAAGTTTTAAAATCGAATCTTACGTTGAGATTGTGAATGGAAATGAGTTGCGAAAACTAGAAAAGCATATCACAAAATTTAAAAGATAATCATTTGCCTCTCCTATTCTAAGGAAATAAGCTTACGATATGCTATACAGGATTTTCGCATGAAATCTACTCGCGAAAAATAATATTTGCCAAGTCATATTACAGAAGACGATTTTCGCCATCTTATATTTTAGTATAAAGAACGTGTTTCAGGACTAAATGTAACTCCATGAATAAGATTTTACGTATTTCAGACAATTTAATTTTTTTAAAATGATCTATAAAAAGATAAAAAGCACCAATATTTGAAAAAGTCATTCTAAATAATGTTTTGTATTGAATATGTCGCACTCTGCTCTGTCTATAATTGTAATAACAATGGCATCTTGAACGGAATTTTTCTCACCCCCCCCCCCCACATATATCTTTATATTGTTGTGTGTATTGTACATGTAGTTACGTGCTAAGTAGGTCAGTATTAAAGTTTAATATTTAATACAAAGTTTAATATTGATCTCTCGCTCATATTGGTGACTTGCTCCCATGCTAGATAGGGAAGATGCAAAAGATGTTTGTCCAGGTTCTTGACTAAGGGCTCATTTCCAATGAAACTATCGTTCTCCGTAGATCGATCCAATTCCGCAAGGACTCTCGCTGAAGGCAATCAGTTTAGCAGAGTAACACGCCTTCTTCTGGCGTTGAGTAGAATACTGAAAAGCTGGCGATTATATGAGTACGCTGGAAACAAGAGGCGGCGAGTTAATCTCTTAATCTGGCTGCATTCAGCTATGGTCCCTGCGGAGTTGGATCGATCTACGTGGAACGATAGCTTCACTAGAAATGAGCCCTAAAATGGCAATGATTAGACCCCATGATTTAGGTTCTGTGTCGTTTGATCTAGATTTGTATCTTAAATGCATGCAAGTAAGTCTATATTACATTGCACCAGCAGAGAAACCTATAATATAACAGTTTTGAATAATTCATAAAACAGATAACCGCAGTTCTAAGTGTTGGTATACGGACATGAACAACCATACCGTGATCATTTACCTCTTTAGAGGTTTAAAATCTTTTTGATCTCCCAATCCCACAAAAACTTAAGGGATAACACCCACTCTACCTTCAGTAGGTCTAAATTTAAACAGTTTGATTTCAAAACACATCTTATTCAGTTTTCTTTATTTAGCTTTTTATACAGCCCTTTTTAAATACCTGTGCTTATTGTGATCATATTACATAACCCTTTCTTTTCATTTTTTTTATTTGCGCTCTTGCATTTGTACAACTTCAGGCTTTCGGTTGCTTTGATTTTGAATAAATAAATTATAAGCTTATCATATTATGAATTCATATGATATATAACAATGCGGATATAAATATAGCTTAACAACACACTCACAACTTCTATCCTAATGGTTGTTTTTAACTAACCTCAGGAGATAACATAAATCAAAATGAAATCCACACACGCCTCACGTATGCTTATATGTGTACACGCATGAGAGAGGAAGAAGAAAAGGGAGAGGGGTAATAGTATATAAGACAGAATGTAATACTTCATATAAAGTGTATGTCACAGTTTCCACTTATCAAAAAAAAAAAAAAAATGTCAAATACACGTTTTGTGCATAATGCATGTCAATGACTGGTAGAATGACATGGGTGGTGACGTAGACATTCTAATTTTAAAGGAAAATACAAGGGAGAAAAGACTTGTGACGGGAGGACGCGGCATGCCAAAATATGAACGTTGCCAAAATAGCTACATCTCAGTTATGTATTCTACTGATAACTGCCAAAAAACAATTAAAGTTTGTTCAAAATTGTTTTCGAAGGTAAAGCAAAAAAGACATTTTGAAGTTAAAAAGACATCTGTGAGGTATGATGTGTGTATCGATAATGTCGTTTTTAACAGTAACGTAACAATATATCATGCCACCCACTCGATTTTACTACCTCACTACGAATAATTCTAATTAATTTTTTTAATTAAAATTTGAAATAAAACTTTGGTGAACAAACTAAAGAAAAGCGCTTTTTATTCGTGCATATCGCCAGACAACCTATTTCGGCGCAACACATTGCGTTAGATCTGCTGATGCAATGTAGCCCAGTATTTTAATTTTATGTGAGCTAATTAGGTGAAGATTTTGACATTCTTAAAATCTAATCTGACGATTAGATGTAAGTGAGAGTGAGTTAGAGCTAGAGAGGGAGTTTGACGAAATGTCATGCACTGGTCTCTTTAACAGCATTTTAACGAGTATTGTGTTGGCTCACGTGTGTGTGTGTGTGTGTGTGTGTGTGTGTGACAGTAAAAGAGAGAGTGAAGGAGAAAGAGGGAGATGGACATCTTACTTGTTACAATAAACATTTACTACTTGTTACACTTGTTACTTAATTTGTTAAACTTTCATGCACTAAAAGGGTTCGCAATTAATATTTGTCAGAATTTCCTCGTTCTCACAGCACGATAACACCATTCACATAATATTCCAAAATTTCATTTCAGCATCTACCGTCGAATCAAATGTGTGGAATTCGGCCACAACAAGCAAAACAGGTCCTTGGAATTGGATTCATTGGGCTCATTCCCTTTATATTGTTATTTTACGCTTACAATACATCGAGTAGTCAACATGCCTTCCAACTGGAGCTTCCGCCAATGGGTGAGCGAAGGCCAACTAGCAATGACGGAGAACTTGCGTTATTCAACGAGATGATGCGAGATTGGTCGCCAGAAAAACCAAGAGCTGTGATATACTATTTGATCAACGGAGATAATTTGTGGAGGCTCGAAAGATCGTTGAGACTTTTAAATAAGAATTTCAACCGAAAATATATGTATCCTGTTATCATATTCTATGAGAAATATTTATCAGATGAGGCATTATGGAAATTGCTATCACAGTCTCCCTCACCATTATTCTTCCAAAGAGTTACATTCACCAAGCCTGATTCTATCAAAGAACCTTTACGGGCTGCGGTAAAAAGAAGTTCATGTCCATACCCCTTGGACAAATCTCGGTTTCCTGGTTACAATCACATGTGTCGCTTCCACGTCCGCCTCGTTTTTGAAAGCCCATTTCTCGCAAACGTCACGTGGTATTGGAGACTCGACGACGACTCCGAGATTTTACGTTATATTTCCTACGACGTTTTTAAGAAGATGGAGAACGGCGGTTACATGTATGGCTACAATTCCGTCCATGAGGAAGACCCTTTATGTGTTGAACATTTATTAGGTAACGTGACTTATTACTTATTTAACCAACCTATAGAGCCGAAGAACTATTATCATTGGCCCAAGCTAGACATATTTTGGAACAACTTTGAGATTTCCAATGTAAAATTTTGGCGACGGCCAGACGTGTGGCAATTTATAGACTACATTGACAGGCAGGGAGGTATATATTATGATCGCTGGGGTGACGCACCAATCAAAACAGACGCAGTAACCATATTTCTTGACAAAAACCAAACGTATTTCTTCTCGGATTTGCGATATCGACACGGCGTCAAAAACGACACATGGATAGATACTTTCCTGAGCACAGATATCTTTGAAATACCCGTGGTATCTCTAGTCGGAATGGTGCTGTTGGTTTTAATTGTTTTTGTTTTCGTAGGACCATTCTCACGGTAACACAATCAGTGCGTTCCTTTCTCAGCCGATCGATTGCGCCAAAACGAAAATACTTAGGATTTAATAAAATATATATGATACATGTACCCTCTACCAGGGCGACAGATTGATTTTTCTCAGATATTCACAGATATGTCTCTAGCTAAATAGACAGTCATTTGGCTGTGTGGATTTTTCCGTTTTTCCCTATATAATCTGCCACACTGGTAGAGGGCATGATTCATGTACAGGGGTAGCACCAAATGTCTGTTCCTAGCAGTTTTCTTTACGTTCTTTTTTTTCCTTTTTTTTCATAATTACTAAGGTGCACCACACCCAAATCGATTGACAAAATTTATTTTTTTAACTTTTCAGTTAATACCACCACGAACAGTAAAAAATGAAATACCTCTAAAACGGGGTTATATATATAGATCGTAAACTTAACAGATTTGGAAGATATATGACCTTGGAGATTGGTGGAAAATGATGGAGATACCAAATGGTTTTGTTTTGGCATATAAAGTGTTTTTAATTTATGTCTTGTTTTTTTTTATACAGGTGAATAAAATTTCGAATAACCTCACTTTGTTGGCTTGCATTATGAAGTTAGTTTTTTCGTCTTTTTGATTAGTGACAAGCAGCGGGTAATGACAATTTTTTTTTGATTAAGGCACACATGCATGTACACACGCGCACACGGACTTACATTTGAATGGAAAGAATGGCACTTATAAACACGTTGTATGCGTACTCAAAAGGCCTACATAAAATTATAATTTCTCTTTTCCCCCTTCTTCCTTTCTGTTCGTCATTTTCCGGTTAACATACAAAGGTCAACTCTGTAGGGATTTCCCACCAAAATGGATTTCCGGGGGTAATAAGGCTTTAGTTTAAAATGGTCAGTCATTTTCACCAGCGACCATTCTTTCTATGCTCCTATGTAAATATCAACATCAAGTACGCTCCTCAAAATTATTTAAAAGGGGTTACATCGTTTTTAAGGTGTTTGTAATGATTAATAAGAAGCTGTGGATGGCACAAATAAGCATTTTGTGATGTTTTCAACCCATGGAGTGTACCTTTAATATGCGGTTGACAAATCGATACACCTGCATGACGTCATACAAGTTTTCACCTGGAATGATCTTGTTGAATAAACACCTCTGGGTCATAGCGAAATCGAGGTCACGCATATATGTGACACAATTTCTGTCGCAGACAGGGATGATATAGTAGTTCTGGTGAACCGGAGTGCCTTCAGGTAAATTTTACATCGGTATAGCTTTCTTCCAGTGATTTACTATGCGTTTGGCTAGCTAAGTCTCAAAATAGACTGTCAAAAATAAGCGTAAGGATGAGTATGAGCAGTTTGTAGCTGCAGACTCAATAAGCCTTTATGCCTCATTCTTACCTGATATTGCATTTACATGTAATGAAGAATGAATTCCTTTATTGTGAAGGCATACCTGCGATGTGCAGTGTACATCGCTTCTGTAAGAATCACATTGTATGTTGTAAGTAGACGTTGGATTCTCAGTCGCTTAAAACGCTACAATAGGTGCAATATCACGCGTGTTATAGGCCTAGTATGATGATAATCGTGCTTCGTGGGCCATAGCGACTATCTCCACACACACGCACACACTCACGCACACACACACACTCACACGCACACACACACACACACACACATAATGTCAGGCATAAAGGCGTTGCGTGCTAGGCCTACATATAACTTCGGAGGGTTTCGATACAGTTTTGTTGTTAGTTTAGAAAGAAAAAGCTATTTATTATTATTATTTATTTATTATTATTTATTATATTAAATGCTCAGCTACTGATGTTTAATGTTATGAACATTATTTATTTATTTATTTATTTATTTATTTATTTATTATTATCGTTACCTAACAGGTATGAGGGGATGTTGAACACCCTGCTGCTGCGTCGATCAAGGTCACGCTCTTTCCTCTTGATAACTGCACTGGTCATTTGTATCCTGACCGTCACATTAATTGTCCGCACACAGATGAGGCAAAAATCTGTTTTGAGGGACTTTAGGAATGACCAACAGTTGAAGGAGTTTCAGCGTGTGGTCAGCACTTGGCCCAATGGAAAGCCGAAAGCAGTCATATATTTTTTGACTTACGAGGCGAGTTTTTGGAGAATGAAAGTCGCCGTTCGTCATCTTGATACGTATTTTAATCAAAATTTTCAATACCCTGTGGTTGTTTTCTATGAAGGAAACGTCACTGATAGAGATTTGACTGATTTAACAGATATTTCTACATCAAGAATATTCTTCCAAAAAATCCACTTCAACCAGCCCTACTACTTGAATGTGTCAGTAGAGGAAGCCGTCAAGGACATCACGTGTCCAAAACCTGATCGGTCCCGTTTCCCTGGTTACAATCACATGAGCAGATTCCATGCTCGTCTGGTTGCCCAGCAACCGATTCTCGCCAACATCACGTGGTACTTCAGACTTGATGATGATTCGCTACTTCAGGATTACATCACATATGATATATTCAGGTTTATGCAGGATAACCATTACACCTACGGATATAACCTTGTCTTCTTTGACAATCCGCTCTGCCTCACTTACCTCAAGGAAAATATTACACACTATTTAAAAGTGAATTCAATTGAACCCAAAGAGTACAGTGATTGGCCAGATGGTGGGATATTTTACAACAACTTTGAAGTATCGAGGTTTGACTTTTGGCGAAGACCCGACGTTGTGCGTTTTTTGAAATTCATAGACGAAAGTGGTGGAATTTATCATTATAGGTGGGGTGATGCGCCTATTAAGAGTGCAGCTGTACTGATTTTCCTTCCGCGACAACAATTGTATCACTTTCGAAAAATTAAGTATTATCACGGGCCCTGGTATCCCGGGTTTGGAGAAACAATCACGTTATTTGAAGCAATTAAATGGATATCGGTGGGGTCACTGAGCACGTGTCTCGTTTTAGTCATTTTGCTATGTTGTTACCTCTATTTAAGAATTAGAAATAAAATAATTTCTTAGTAATGAACTTGTCGTTATATGATTTCAATCGCCAATGTTGTGGAAATACTATCTATTTTACCATTTTGATTCTTGTTGTAGCNGGGTTTGGAGAAACAATCACGTTATTTGAAGCAATTAAATGGATATCGGTGGGGTCACTGAGCACGTGTCTCGTTTTAGTCATTTTGCTATGTTGTTACCTCTATTTAAGAATTAGAAATAAAATAATTTCTTAGTAATGAACTTGTCGTTATATGATTTCAATCGCCAATGTTGTGGAAATACTATCTATTTTACCATTTTGATTCTTGTTGTAGCAAAAAATATGATATAGCACCAATACATATGATAAAACTTTGATATTTATTTTCATATATATTTACACGTTGCTTTCATTCATTATTTAGTTAATTTGTCTGTACACAATCCATTTACTCTAAGGGGTGAACCCTGGTGCGTCTGCGTCCACCGAAATAAAATGAAGATCTCACGGCATCTACGACAGAATTCCACCATCGTCTGAATCTAGATGGGGGCTTGCTTTGTTCAAACACATCGCGCCGAATGGGGAATTTCTGAAAATACAGCATTATCTCATTAAAGGTATGTAAATTATTTTTTGTGAATTAGTAGTGAGGAATGTTTCCTCTGAAAAAACACATATAAAGGAAGATTTTGATGACCTATTTTGTCCCCCCACAAACCCTAACCTCTACCAGGGTGGCAGATACACTGTATTATAGGGGAATTTTGAAAAAGTCGGAGAATGGCAGAGAATTAAATGACTAAATGACTGTCTATTTATCTTAAAGACATATCTGTGAATATCTTTTAAAAAATCAATCTGTCGCCCTGATAGAAGGTACGCAAACCCCAACTTACCGTTATCACTTGTTTAAAACATAAATATAAGTAAAGAATATATTTATAATGTTTTTAATATTCTCCTTTTTGCTAGCTTCATCTTATTTTTCGCACAAAGAATTTTTTTTTTTTGGGGGGGGGTCTAAAACGATATACATGTACCTTTTGGTTGTTTTCAAAGTTCCTCAGGCACTCTTCCTCAAACCTTATTCTTTCCTCTTTAATTTTCGACTCATCTTGCTCTTTGGCGATGTTGAGATTAGCCTGTAAAGGAAATTGCAATCTTTTTATACATAGGTGTTTGATTAAAGCAAACTGAAAAAAAAAAACATTTCAGTAGTCGGAAGAAGTGAACCTTTTAATCTCCGTAGTGAAACGGACAGTTCTGGGTCTTCTGGAAAACGGTCAGAATTCATAAGTTTACATTGATGGGCATCTATTTTTGTTTCGTTGGAAGACGGTCACAAATAGAGGATAGATCAACAAAGATAATTCGGAAAAAACTGTCAGAAAAGATATCTGGATCCGCCCAAATCTGAGAAATGGCATCAAACCTAGATGAAACTTTGATTCAGAGCAGTGTCATAGTGTTACTCATTTATTTCGAAATGTTGCTGGTACGTTACATTCTTGATCGGTATCTCTTGGAATAATAATAATAATAATAATAATAATAATAATGCAATTTTCAGTGTTGTTTACGTTCACATATACATGTAGATACTAAAACTACAAATATAGATTAAAAACTTACATAAAAGTAATTAAAAGTAAAAGTAAAAGTTAACCGAAATGTTATTCAAATAGGAACATTTTAATTCTTCTTAAAACAGTCACAGGGGGCATTAAAAGACAACCTTAACTTGTACATTATAAAATCTTTATAAATAAAAGCCCAACCACCATAACAAAGTTTCATTCTTATAGAACTTAAAAGTTAATAATTCATTTCCATAAGCCCATGTAAAATTTACTTCGGCGAAACAATTGATATCTCACTTTTTGTGTCTCTTCCTTTGCTTTCGGGGCCATCTCTCTTTTGACTTCTATCTGTTCCTCATCCAGGGAGATTTCTTCTGCTCCCATTATCTTGGACAGCCTTTCATCTACTATTTTCTTTGTCCTTTCTATGTCTGTAAGTTCCCTTTCGAGTTTGTTTTGTGAGACCTTGAAATGTAAAAGTAAACACATATTTTCAGCTGCTACCGCCTGATAAAATACAATGACATAACTAACAGGTGAGTTTACTGAATCTGTGGGATGCTTTAAAAGTTGAAAAATCGTATATATGACGAATTTTAACAAGCAAGCAAGTAACCCGAAATTAGAAATATAGATTAACTAAAAGGTTAAACAAGGCAGCAAAGCTGTCAAATGTACAGACAAAAAGCAGGAAATAACAATGCAAGAAATAGGCTACTGTCATTCTGATGTAAAAATACATTATGCTTAACTACAAATTCAACATCAAATTTTAATTATGCTCAACAGGTAATACCAATGTAAGTAAAATGTGTAACAAGCATAAGGCTTCAGGCCCATGGGAGTTCAAGTTCACACTTTGAAAATGCCAGAATGAAAAAAATGAAAATTTCACACAAAATTGCATAAATTCAATAATAAATGATAACCCAATTGAGCTGGCTTTCTAATTTGAACTGCATGCCAATCTTAAAAATCATACTTGAAAGTTAAAAATAATAAGTAACACAGTTTTCTTTTCATAATGTTTGTAGTAGCAGTGCAAAAAGATTTCTGTCCATTTTGATGTGACATTACGTAATACATTACAGAATAATTATCACCAATTTTTGATTATTGACTATAAATAGCATGGACATGTAGAAAATTTGATTACCATTCAGCTTCATGTCCATGGGAGCTCTGAGTCCCACAATGAATATGCCACACGATAAAAATGAATATTTCACTAAAATGTATAACTTCCAGAAAAAGAAGTCAATTAGACTGCTTTTCCAACTCAGGCTGCATTTTAGTCCTGTGTTTCTTTTTTGAAAGTTTGACAATCATAAGTAACATGGTTTTCCCATAATGGTCATCATGGCAGCAGCACCCAAAATTGTGTTTTCTTCTATTTTAATGCATTATAACATAATGCTTAACAGCATAATGACCATCAACTTTTTAATTGTTTAACTGTTTAATTGCCAGAAAAATTTACCAAAAAGACTGCATTGCTTACTGAAGCTGTATTTTAGTCCTGTGTTTCTTTCCTGTAAGTTTGAGAACAGTAAGTGACATGGTTTTCTTAAATGGTCATCATGGAAGCAGTGCCCCAAACAGGGGGTTCTTCAAATTTTGAGGCAATATTACATAATGTTTAACAGCATAATGACCATCAATTTTTAATAATAAAATATTAGTATCATGGACATTCAGAAAATATGACTAGCAAAGGTCTTCAGGCCCATGGAACTTCAGAGTCACACCTTGAAAATGCCAAAATGTAAACAAGACAGCACTGTTCTGAAATGGGTGTTTTCCCATTTTTAACAATTTTTAACATAAAACAAAATTAGCAGTTTACTGCCATTGTTATATAATCAACTATAATCAACCTGCGTTTTAGGAAGATTGACCACTCCTGTGAGTTTAATGACAATTGGTCTATCTGTTTTTCTTATATTGTGTTTACAGTGTTGCATATATGCTGAAAAGTGAAAAAACAGCATAACTTCTAAAATAATGGCCCGATCATGCTGATTTTCGACCTTGACCTGCGTTTAATGAATATTCATCAGCTCTGTAAATATAAAGCCAAAAAGTAAAACTGCCCTCCACTTATCGTGTTTACAAGGAAAGTGCACGGCGCCGACGGCGACGACGGCGACGGCGACGGCGCCGACAGACGCAGGTGATGGCAATATGTACAGACACATCTGTGTCTGTACATAAAAACAAAACTTGGGAGAAAAACGATGGCTTAATCTCCAGCTTAGCCCTTACCTTTTCCAGTCTAGCACCGGTGGATGGTGTCCGTGCTCTGAGTAACTCGGCTTTCATGGCTTCCGCGCGCTTGAGCTTTTCTTCAAGCAATATTGATAATTCCACAGGATCCCACGTTCTATCTGACGCGGCAAACCTACGTAAAATGCGGCTCGGGACTGTCTCGTAGTCCGTTGTGCAAAAGACCATAGGTGTCAACGGCCTAGGAGGAGGGGTGGGATTTCCACCTTCTGCGTCTATCCATAATGCCACCTGCTTTGCTCTAGGTTCTGGTCTCCAGTTTTCACCGTGGACTCTCAAATCCAACGTTTCATCATTCACTACATTCCAATCCACATCCCTGCCTCCACTAGCCATCTTTTGTGGATGAAAATAACTTCGGTGAAAAAGAAGTTTTGATTGAAGTGAAGTGAATAATGCAACCTTGGGGAATGACGTCATTGTAGCTGTGACGTATATGCGTCATGACGTTACGCCATGAACAAAAAAGTCGTCGTAAAAAGGAAAAATGGTTGTACTTAAAAATACACTTTTTTAAAATGCAAATAATAATAACAATAATAATCTGACTGACTGTCAATGTGTTTTAATTAAGCCATTATTATTGCATTTTGACTACTAACTAGCCCTAACATCAGGATTATTTGAAGGTGGGGGGTCCGCGGAAGCTGATTCACCCCCCCCCCTCCCCCCAACTGGCGTGGGGTTCGGGACCCGCTGAAGGGCCCCGAAAGATTTTGGTATTTTAGAGGGCGACAATGCCATTTGGTACGGTATAGAACTATGATTTAGTTAGTCAAAATTCTAATTTTAAGAGAGGACCAGAAATCGAAGTGGGTGTCAGGACCCCCCCACACACACACACCTGACCCCCACCCCTCTAAATCCGCCACTGCCTAACCTGTACTAATCATATGGGACCCTGGACTTCTATTCTGGGACTATCATTCCTGCAACACCGCTTTCAAAAATAGATTCTTTACTTGTTTAATCCTCTTAAAATAAAATTGATTATTACTATTAGGTTATATTCACTCCATCTTTTCGTTTTCCTGCAAAGTTCAAAACTCTACGCATTTTATCCGCATTCTTTGTATTGTTAAGGAGAGACTCCCATTGTTATTGTATTCTACTCTATAAGTGATAGACTATTGTTAATAAGACGACAGACAATGGAGTTCCACATTTTTGCGGGATGCCACGTTGACGACTCTGTCCCTGCAGTCTTCCGGAATCCAGCAAAATGTTCTTGGCAATTCTGACCAGGTCGTCCGTAGACACCTGAAGAAAAGATTCACAGTAAAAAAGTGTTCATCGGAGAGATTGTTGCTAGTGAAGCAAAACTGCAACCTTGAAGACCATTTATTTCTGCCTTGATCAGTGTTTGTTAAACTCTGGCGAAAGGCTGAAGTATACAAAGGCTGAGGCATTACAATATGTTACGAAATTTACAGGTATCAACAAAACATATATTACGCTTAAAATTATTTGAAAATGGTAAATTGTAAAAAATAAAAGATGGATGAATATGAACAAACGATAGTATATTACAAATTTCACAAATAAATAAGATATTCACATAAACAGTGCAAAAATGTAGGAGAAGGACCAGGAGGATAGGGGGTTAGGACCCCCTTTCCCTCCCCCCCCCCCCTCCACAAACACAATGGCTTTTTTTCAGTGGCGTCGGCCATAAGCACAGAACGCGGGGGGGGGGGGGG